TCCCTCCGCGGGTCCGCGCCCGGGGCGCTGCCTGCCGCTGCCCCTGCCCCCGGGGGTCTGTGTGTCCCGGCCCCCTCCGGGAGCGCGGGCTGCGGGCGGCTGCAGTCTGAGCTCGGGGTCTTCATTTGCCTTTTCATTTGTTAAAGAGGAAAATCCCTTGGTAGTCGATGTCACAATTCGGTATGAAAGTAAACCAACATCTTCAGCAGGCGCAGCAGCAGAGAAAATAAACATCAGCTTCTCAAAGATGACGTGTAAGAACTGACAAATGCTACTGTTACTAAATTTATGGGATTTCCTTGGGTGCACGTGGCAAATGGTATCAGGGCAATTACGAACTGTTGATGGAATTGACGGGAAATGGTTGCCACGTTTATCAAATTGAGCGCTAATTACAGCGGTAGGTACGGTAGGATGTGTGTTAGCCAAGGCAAACGTTGTGAGATCTTAAAGAGCTATTGTACCTGATCTATGTTCTGTAATGAATTATTTTCAATAACTACTTCTATCTATGCCTTACTAGTAGGGTAGATCTAACCTGACTCATGACAAGTAGGTGAGAGTTAGGCGCCTGGGGAGAACAGAAGGAGCATTGAAAAGAAACTATTGATAGTACGTAGGGATATGGGCCTCAGAATCATGACGTGTCATTTATTCTGGTAAAAGGACATCAGTTACTGATTTGAACAATGAGTTACTGATTTGAGCACGGGTGGATGGGCTTGGAAAATAAACTTAACTTGGAAAAAACCCATGTATAAATTACATGTGTTTGATAAATAGTCCCAGCATCAATCTGCCTGTTGCCTCCTGCCCCATATTGTACAGATTTTCATGGGGAGGAACCACCCCATGCTGTTAATCCCTGCAGCTGTTCCCGGGATCACACCAATGATGTTCACGCAGGCACTGCTATGTCAGTGGGGAGGTGGGCAGCTGCCCGCGGCCCTCTGTGGCCTGGGGTCACTCCACCAGGCTTTGCCTTTCTGCAGCATCAGGTCTCCAGGCCCAGCTGTGGTCTGGCTCACCTGAGCTCCTCACAGAGCTTCTTGTAAGACTCTTTCGTTCCTCCACCTTCCAGTAATTGAGGCTTTTAATCCTCACTTTCATTAACATTAAATTAACCTGATAGATAAGAAAGCAGTAGAGATACTAACAAAGAAAGCCAATTTATCTCTCATTAATTCATTTTCTCTGCCAGCAAACTAGTTGATTAAGGAGATCTGTCATCTAAGTGACAGAGAAAAATAGAGTCCTTCCTTAACATGTTTTATTGTTTTGATGGCAGCCTCAGACACTGATGCTCTGAAATTTCATATGCAGTTGTTACTGTGTATCTGCTGAGTGTACAGAAAAATTAAGATACAGTACTGGCATGCTTGTTACAAAGACATTTTGCTAAAAAAAATGCTACAGCAGATCAACTTTTTAGTGGTAATAACAAAAAAGTAAACTGGGGGTAATTTCACTTCAAAGTTAAAAAAATAGACTTCTCCTATTCTGCTTTATGGAGGTGATGGTCCGTTGTGTGATGGAGTGGGGCAGGAAGCAGGACCTTTGCTTTGGGGCAGAGCAGGAGGAGATGCAGAGCACGCCAGGGTCGTGCCTGCAGTTGCTCTCTGACTCGTAATAATGGGGAACAGGAAACTTCTGAAACCAAAACAAAGTCAACCAGAGGTCTGGGCTGTGAGAGGGAGGCAGAAAGCTTGGGGGGTCCCCATGGCACTTCTGCTTATGGCACATGTCCTTCTCTCCCCCCACCATGCCATGTGGGCTGGTGGTTCACCCGTCTCGGCACCGGAATAATGAAAGGGTGGCTCAGGATCGGGAAGATTCTTTGTGGCCCCTTTTGCCTGCGGTACTGCGAATGCTGTTGGGGGTGGAAGAAGGCCCAGTATTGCCCTCTTGCACGCTGGGATCTCCCTGCCTGTCCCTCCTGGCACCACTTGCACACAGGCCTGGCTCTGCAGCAGCTGTGTCGCAGAGGTGGGAGATCTTGCTGCTGGATTTTGCTAGAGAACCCCAAGTAAACATCCAAATATTAGTTGTGTTGGTCTGACAGGCTGGATGGCATGGGGCATGCAGGAGTGGAGTGGGAGTGGCACGCATCAGGCCTGGGGGCTCAGCTTGTAAGGGAGCTGCCCAACTTTCATGTGTTCCTAATGAGGTGTTGCTTTTGTCCTCTTCTCCAGTAAGCTTTTTCATGCAAGACTTGCCAGGACCTTTCTTTCATCCTTAGGGAGGTGAAAACTTGTATTTCCTTCAATCTTTT